GACTCACCGATCTGACCACCTCACTGAGGAGCACAACAGGAGTCTTCCTGCTACTGGGGCTGCCAGGGAGGATCCACTGACTGTAGAGCTCCAGAAGGAACTGAGAGCAGGAATGGATGTCAACCCCAGCACGGTGCTTCCTGGACAGGACGAGAAGAAAGACAATGCAGGGTGTGAAGTCTGGAGGATGCTGGTTTTAAAGAGCTGTTCTGCTAGTAATTTTGTAAAAGTCTGACCTGGAGTTGATTGGCGATAATGGCGGTGAGGCAGGTGCTGGAGCATCTGCTTCATCTTCCTCATCCTCACCCCACTCCTCCTCCCTCAGAGGGGTGATGTTATTTCCCAACCACACTGAGTGAATTGACACCTGCAAAGTGTACAGGATTGATATTTTAAGCAGGAATGTGCCTGAAGCCAAATACCTTATTCAGAAAGGCATGGATAATAGCTTCAAAGCGATTAACGAATTCTACCGAATAATAGAAAAAATATATGGCATACTCCTTGTGTTTGCTGGATAACAAGTAAGCTACATTAACCTCTAAAATTAATACGCAACAATAAGTGTGTGAAGTGAATGAGTTTAAACTCTAAATGAAATAAGCGTGAATCAAATATGCAGATAAATGTTAATAAAATCAAGGTTTGTAGAATAGTCAGTTTACTAACTTGACCCAGTTTGTAGTCCATGTTGCCCATCTCCCTCTCTGTGTTAATCTGCAGCAGGAGTTTCTCATGGCTGATGAGGGTGCCTGAACATGCAGATATAAACACATACACACAAAGGTCAAGAATACGACAAGAGACTGTACACATATAGAGCAAGAGGATCTTTCGGCTGACCACTGACCTGCCGTTGAGGATGATAAGGATGGCACGGGGTCCCAGGCATGATAGGGGAAGTGTGTGGCGATGTTGTCTCTCTTTGACACCATGGCCTGAATCTCACGCTCAACCATACCTCTAATCACACTCAGCTTGCGACCAAACCTACAAAACACACACAAACGTATGATCCACATCTAAACCTAGAAGCCCAACAAATGAATAAAATAAATGTGTACATACCTGGTGTCCAGAGCTTTCAGGATTTTGTTGCGGGGTTGCTGTTCAGGGCAGCTGACGGCTGGGTTTCCTGCTGTTGGCAAAGTCATGGCACTCAGCACCAGAGAGGTGATGGCCTGAACCGCCAGTACATTGATCTGAGTCCTCTCCATATCCTCCTGTGACACAAACAGACACGTCTTATCCATTACCAAAACCTGGATGAGTGTTTTTATTTTTGGTAGAAGTTGAATGATTTACCTCTTGCTGGGTTTCTTCTTCTTGGTCCATCGTGATTGGCTGAGTGACCAGCACTCCCAACAGAGTGGCCCACGTCTCCTCAAACT